CTTCATCCGGAAAAACTATCGGGTTTGTCCTCCAATATCATTTGTTGAATTGGGGGTTTTCGTGCAAGATAGTGTGAAGGATCGTCCATGTGAAAAATCCTTTTGAGTATTTGAAATCTTTTCAAGGAACCTTAGAGTGGTTGAAATCTTTTTAAGGTAGGATTGATTTTAATAGAATTGAGTTTAGTATAATTGACTTATGTTTGAATACATTTATGTAAAATTGAGTTGAACAATAATAAATTTAAGTGTAAAAATCATCCAGAATCAATTCTGGAGGTAGAAGTTACAAATTTTAGCTTCTAGTAAAATCAACTCTGAAGACAGAATAAATTATATTTTTAACAAACCAAACACTTCAAAATAACCCAGAATCAATTCTACATCTCTAAAATTGACTCTGAATTGTGCAGAAATGAAACCAAACATAAATCTTGTCTAAGAGCCGGATATAAATCTCACCCAAAAGGTTCAACATCTCGCTTAAAAAACTTGTAATCTCGTTAGCCAAATTTGATATAACCGCCTAAACCATACTAAATCTCAATATTTGTGGCTTAACTTTAAATACTAAAAAGAGAAATTTATTAAAATTTAAGAGATTAATTAACTTGTTAAAACATTTTAACTAAAATGACTATACCATGAATTTAGCCTTGAAAAGATAAAATTATAATCCCAGTCACCATTGAAAGGGTTTTGAGTAAAGCAAGTTCCATAACTAAAACTCTTACAGTGATAAAATAAAAATAGACTTAATCTGTGAGATCATCCAACTCTGTATATAGCATCAATCTGCCCCTTCTGTATCCCTCCAAGCCGCGTTAACTGGACCCCACATATAGTTCAACCCAGCGCAGCATCTATATTCCTTTTCCTTTCCTTTCCATCCATCCCATGTTCTTTTGTTTTTTTTCTTCTTATTTTTTTCCACAAAAATAGAACCCTTTCAACTCTCATATCTCTAACTTCCACCATTTTTTCAAATATATTTTTTATTTTTTATCACTCATTTAGCTTCAAAGATTCTACTAAATCTTCACAACCAGCTGGTTTTTATTTATTTTATAAAACACCAGCAACTTGCAGAATTTGAAGCTTCATAGTATTCATGATTTTTTTTTTCATTGTGGGGTCCTCTTTTTGACAGCCTAATCAACAGCCTGGAAAAGGGTGTTTGCATTGCATTGCAACCACACTAAAAACTTCAACTTTCATCACTTTCTTCATTTCAACATTTTTCTATTTTGCTTCCTTCAAAGGTAACCAACTCTACATACATTTTAATTAACACCCTTTTTGAGCTGATTTATGTTTCTGTTGTGAGTTTTAATGTTGTCATGTTAGAAAACTCATTGTGTTTTGTTTGGTTTTTGTGCTTTGAATTTGATAGATCCGAGGTTGTTTTTTCTGATGTTGTTGCAGGTTTTTTTTTTCTTCTTCAAGTTTGTGACTTTTGGGATTGGAATCTAAAAGGGTATTATTGTAATTTTGCTTACAGTTCGTTTATGGGTTGGTTTTGGTGAAGAATATTGGAGAGAAACTAAACTAAACTAAACTAACTACAATGGTGATGGTGATGATGGTGAAGCTTGTTTCGGTTGTTGTTACTGTTATTGCAATTTTAGTGAATGTGTCATTTGCCTTATACACACCTCATGATAATTACTTAATTGCTTGTGGTTCATCTAAAAGTATTAGCTTTCAAGATCGTGTTTTTGTTCCGGATTCGCAGCATTCTGCATTCGTGTTAAAAACTGGAAATTCGGTTGTTGTTGGTAATTCGAAATCGAGGGTTGTTCCGTCTCCAATTTACGAATCGGCTAGAGTTTTCACTGATAAAGGTGCTTATAGATTTGGAGTTCAACCAGGTAGGCATTGGATTAGGTTATATTTCTATCCTCTTCCAAATGCAAGTCATGATTTGACTTCAGCTTCTGTAACAGTTGTTAGTGATGATTTTGTTCTGTTGAGGAACTTCAGTTTTAGAAACTATAGTGGTTCTTATTTGTTTAGGGAGTATGCTGTTAATGTAACCTCTGATAGTTTGACCGTGACATTCATTCCTTCGAATGGTTCGGTTGCTTTTGTGAATGCAATTGAAGTTGTGTCGATGCCGGATGACTTGTTTGTTGATCAGGCATTGGCGCTTAGTCCGTTGGCGCCTTTTAACGGTCTTTCAGAACTTGCTTTCGAAACTGTTTACCGTTTGAATATAGGAGGTTCCTTGCTAACTGCCGAAAACGACACGTTGGGAAGGACTTGGGAGAATGATCAGAAGTATCTCCATGTGAACAGTTCGGTCACTAATGTATCGACTAGCCCTTCGAGCATTAGGTATCGACCGGGCGTTACTGCTGAGACGGCGCCTAATTGGGTCTATTCGACTGCTGAAGCAATGGGGGATGCAAATGTGGCCAATTCGAATTTCAACATTACTTGGAGTTTTGATGTAGATCCAGATTTCTCCTATTTTGTTCGGCTTCACTTTTGCGATATTATTAGCAAGGCGATGAACACGTTAGTGTTCAGTGTGTTTATAAATACTGATATAGCTATTGGAAGCCTCGATCTATCATCTATGACTAATGATTTGGCTTTGCCTTACTATAAGGATTTTGTTTCTAATGCTTCATCGGATAAGACTTTGACGGTAAGTATCGGTCCTGATACGTTGGCAGACATTACAAATGCAACTATGAATGGATTGGAGATAATGAAAATCAGCAATTCATGGAAGAGCTTGGATGGACTTTCTTCGGTTGTGAGTCTGCTTCCTAGTTCAAAATCTAAAAAGAACAAGATAGGAATAATTATTGGTTCCGCAGCTGGTGCTGTCATTACCTTAGCTTTTGTTGGTTTGTGTTTTTGCTTGTTGGTTAGAAGAAAGTCGAAGTCTCCTCAAGAGGGTGGTCATTCATGGCTGCCATTGCCCTTATATGGAAATTCTCAGACCATGACGAAAATGTCAACAACTTCACAGAAGAGTGGAGGAACTGCAAGCTTCATTTCTTCAACGAATCTTGGACGGTTCTTCACTTTCCAAGAAATCCTAGACGCAACCAACAAATTCGACGAGAAGCTTCTTCTCGGAGTTGGTGGTTTTGGCAGGGTTTATCAAGGAAACCTTGATGATGGTACCAATGTAGCTGTTAAAAGAGGAAATCCTCGATCCGAACAAGGCCTTGCTGAATTCCGAACCGAAATTGAAATGTTATCCAAGCTTCGCCATCGTCATCTTGTGTCTCTAATTGGGTATTGTGATGAGAGGTCAGAAATGATTCTTGTCTATGAATACATGGCTAATGGTCCCCTCAGGAGTCATTTGTATGGAACAGACCTACCACCTCTATCATGGAAACAAAGACTCGAAATTTGCATCGGCGCAGCAAGAGGCCTTCATTATCTCCACACCGGTGCATCACAAAGTATTATTCATCGAGATGTAAAGACAACAAACATTCTTTTAGATGATAGCTTTGTTGCTAAAGTTGCTGACTTCGGCCTCTCCAAAACCGGCCCTGCACTCGATCAAACTCACGTGAGCACGGCCGTTAAAGGTAGTTTCGGTTATCTTGATCCAGAATACTTTAGACGGCAACAACTCACAGAGAAATCCGATGTTTATTCATTCGGAGTAGTTTTAATGGAAGTGCTATGCACAAGACCGGCTTTGAACCCTGTCCTTCCTAGGGAACAGGTTAATATAGCTGAGTGGGCGATGAACTGGCAGAAGAAAGGAATGCTTGATCAAATCATGGATCAACAACTTGTAGGGAAGGTCAATCCTGCTTCGCTTAAGAAGTTTGGGGAGACGGCCGAGAAGTGTTTGGCCGAGTATGGAGTGGATAGACCATCAATGGGAGATGTTCTATGGAATCTCGAATACGCTTTGCAGCTACAAGAAACCTCATCAGCACTCAGGGAACCTGAGGATAACAGCACAAACCACATAACTGGGATTCAGTTGACACCACTCGAGAATTTCGATAACAGTGTGAGTATGATTGATGGAAGCAACTCTGTCACAGACGATGATGGTGAAGACGCTGCTACAAGTGCAGTCTTCTCACAATTGGTAAATCCACGTGGAAGATGAGTTATTTTTCGGTGTATGCGTGATTCTGGCCGTAGGTCGTTAAATATACGGCTGTTCTGGCCTATGACTAAATTGAAAAGTCCTGCTTGATGAATGAAAGGTTATTTTCTGTTACATTATCACATTTGTTTCCTTTTTGTTTTTTTGCCTATAAGCAAGTTACTATATAATATTTGAGCAATTAGCTGAGTAGAAATTGTATGTAAGTTACTATAAGGTTCTGTTGTATAAGAGTTCTTCTTTCACTTTACAATAAAAGTTCTTTAGAAAATGAATCAACTATTGAAAAGGTGCTGCTTCTGATAATGTAATTTGCTTTTCTCTTTTTTCATGTAAGTTTTTCTGCCAACTATTGGTTGTCTCTCATTTTAGAATACTTAAGCTATAAGCTCTTTTCATAGACTTTTTTCATATCAATATGCAAAAACAGATTCCAATACAACAAGGTATTTTCGTAATTTCAAGTTTCAACAATGATCTTGATCTTATGCATGATATCGTAATGTATAAATGGAGGAAGCTATGAAGCACGGACACCAGACACGACACTGACACGTCAACATCGATAATAATTTAAAAAAATGAATAAATTGAAGATAATCACAAGTGTCAGTGTCGTGTCAGTGTCTGGAACAGACACGGGTTCACATTTTTTCAAAATGTCAGTGTTGGTATCTGACAAATACAGATGTTTTTTTCCAGAAGTGTCAGTCCTATAGAGGAGGAAACCTTCCTTATAATCACAATATTCAATTATTTATAAGAAAACAATTTAGTACAATTCTTATTCAAAAGGAAACATGATTACAAAACAAAAACATTTTGGCTACTTAGTATAACATAACAATTTTTCTCAGAGTTACAACTTTAAATCATAAGAAAACAATGGAAACCACCAAACTTATCTTCTACAAACTATACCATTACCACTGCTGGCACCACCAGTGCAATCCATCATACCATATTCAATAATCTCCAATCCTTCCTGCTCAGAATCTTTAGCAGAAGAGAATATACAAGCATTACAGTCGGCTGAAACAAGCGACGTGGTTCTATATTTGTCTTCCCCTCCAACAACCGGCATTGCCACGCCTGGCTTTGCCGGATTTTGGAAATCAGGCTGATAAGTTCTACCAAGAACACCTTCAACTTTGGAGGATAAACCATAGAATTTAAACTGTACTTCCAAATGAGGAAAACAATCATCATCAGGAATCTGATAGTTATGGATTCTACTGTCTTCCTTGGTCACAGGAACCACATTGACAGATATTTCAGCAACTTCTGGGAATGTAACCATGACACCGTTCTCGTTCGATGTTCTCTCGACTCTAAGTTGATTTCCTTCAGATTGCCATGTAGAAAGGTGCCCTTCTGGGATTACGAGTTCCTTTCCGTCATAAGAGAGCTTCAAATGGTCAACTTCATCATCCCAAATTGTTGATGGGGTGGCCTCAACAGACAAGTTGTGAGAATCAAAGAGAACTCCTAATGCTTGAATCCAAGTATAATCCCTTGGTCTCCCTTTCGGCCTAAGGCCGATAAAACGAGCGTTGATTTGAAGGTTAACGTCAGATACCAAGGTGAAATGTTCATTCCTCCTTCCATGAAAATAGAAAACAATGCCATCAGCACCAACGAACCGAGGGTCCAAGCATGCAGATCCGCGGCCATTACAATTTGGTTTGCGACCTGTTCACATCCAATCCAACATATAATGAGCACTTGTTATATGCATTTTAATTTTAACATCAATAGGTGAACCATATTAGATTTATCATATAACAAAATGTATATGCCATGTATTTGAACACAAGAAATCTTACTCTTGCATTGAGTTTTGCAGACAGGAGAATCACAATCAAGATAGCAAATTTTGTCTCTTGGGTTGGCTGGTGATTTTGAAGGACATTGAGCAGGACAAGGTAGTTTCTTAAGAAAACAAGGACTCTTGCGGGTTGTGCATGTCTGAGAATCCACATTAGTCTGCATCACACTCACACATGTCGATACAAATATTGATAATAACAGAACAAATATTAAGCATTTGTTGCTTAACACATTCATGATGAATCTCTATTCTTTGTTAGATACAATGATAGATCAATATGAAACTCTCCTTACTATATAATCTCTTTTAGCTAATACAAAACTCACCAAGTGGTTAATTTCCTATTGATTTTTTAACATGAATTGCTGGAATTCTTTGTGGCATCTTTTACATTGTCAAAACATTTACAATATAGAAATAGGTAAAGGAAGTTGACATTATGAACAGCTTATATACAGAGAGATTGTTATTGACTTTTACTAATTTATTCATGTTCAACAATGAGATTATGAGAAAATAAAGTGCAATTGTAAAAGTATATTTCACTATAATCTATCAATACACATTCAAACTATGTGTTAATTTACGCTTACATTGTTACGTTAGGACAAACGAAGCGTGTTGGATTTTGTGGACCAAAATCCCATTTTATAACGTTCGTTGAGTCACTTGTAAGTTTTAGAAGAGGCAAAGGATGTGCTGTATTTTCCCTCCTCTAAGTTTGAGTAAAAAACGGGATTTGAGTAATAAGGAATCAGTTCAAAGATAAAGAAAATCTAGTTACAAGATATTTTAACACTAGTAATTTGAATTTAGTTGGGTATCGGTATTCTCAACCAATCAAATATCATGGTTCACTGTCACATCATTTTATTATTTTATTTGGTTTTAAAATAAATTAAAATTTTATTACAATTTACACTAAATGTACCAATACCTAACTTAGATTCATGAGTATAAAAAAAATCTACTTAAATTAAGTTAAAGATATGGAAAATTTTAAACTTAAAAAAGTACTTCTAAGATATTTTTGTTGAAATATTAAAATAGATTTGTTAGATTAGATTATATTTAATATTTAAATATAATCCAAGTTGTGTTAGTCTAAATCTAATTAGAATTGTTTATAAATAGTCATAATGTGTATCTTTATTTTGTATAATTCATTCAAGTGAATAGTATAATCCTTATTTTCTTTATTATTCTCTTTTTCTCTCTTTACTAAAAGTGTCTCACGCACTAACAAATTGATAACCAGAGCTTCCGGTTATTGTTCTTGACCGTGTTTTCAAGAACTTCACGTTAGAGATCGTGTTTCAAGGGCAAGTGAATCAAACGCTGCGAAGATGACTACTGATAAAGGCATTCTGAATTCTCTTCCAATGCTTGACGGCAAAAATTAGATCTGATGGAAAAAACAGATGCAATCCTTGTTTGGCTTCTATGAAACCCTAAAAGTGGTTAGCGACAACGTTCCCGCGCTGACTGCAAATGCAACCGACGAACATAAAAAACCCACAACGAAATCAAGAAAAAAGATTGCAAGGTTGTTTATTGCATTCAGACGGCGGTCAACAGTGCTAACTTCGACAGGATTTCTCATGCTGAAACGGCGAAGGAGACATGGGATATTCTGGTGAAGTATTACGAAGGAGGTGAGAAAGTCAAAGTTATCAAATTACAAATCTTGCATCAACAATATGAGTTGTTGTCGATGGGAGAAGACGAAAAAGTTGCAGAATATGTGTCGAAGGTTCAGAAACTCGTCCATCTCATGAAGGGTTGTGGTGAAACCATAACTGATAAGATGATAGTTGAGAAGGTAATAAGAATGTTGACCTCTCACTTTGATCACATTATTGTAGTTATTCAAGAATCCAACAATCTTGAAACCCTAAAAGTGAAAGATTTATTTGATTCGTTGGAGGCGCATGAGATGAGGATTGTCGAAAGAAAAGGAGTTCAGGACTCGATACAAGCACTGCAAGCTCAGTTATGGAAAAAGGATGGTGGTTCCAACAAATTCAAAGGAAAGTTTGACAAGACTCAGGGCAAGAAGTCTTGGTCAAATCCTCACAAGAATAAGGTCGAAGATAGAGTTTCTAAATCCTCAAAAAGAGGAGGAGGAAAATATCGAAAGGAAAAAGAAGATAAGAAAGGTATACATTGTTATAACTGTGAAAAGTGGGGTCACTTGGATAAATAATGTTGGTACAGAAAAGACAAGGGATCGACGAGCAAGAACGAAGGAGCGAACCTTGTACACCAAGATTCAGATGATTATGAAGGTGGTAGGTGGTTATGGTTGCAGTTGTAGACACCCATGTCGAATCCAAGATCTGGTTCCTCGACTCAGGCTGCTCGAATCACATGACTGGTCGAAAGGAGTGGTTCGCAGATTTTGACAAGTCGAAGAAGAGCAAGATAAAACTTGCTGATAATAGTTCGTTGCAAGAAGAAGGTACTGGTAACATGGTTTTTCAAATGAGTAATGGAGAAAAAGCTATGATTAAAGATGTGCTCTATGTACCTGGAATAAAGTGCAACTTACTAAGTGTTGGACAAATGGTCGAAAAAGGATTTTCAATTGTTATGAAAGATGGAGCTTTGAAATTGTGACGCCAATAACAATTTGGTCTTAAAATCTCTGTTGTCGAAGAACAGGACGTTTAAGACTAAGATCAATTCGACTGAAGTACAATGTCTAAAAACTGTTGTCGATCACAAGGATATTTGGTTGTGGCATTTGAGGTTTGAACATTTGAACTTTTGATCACTCAATCAGTTGATTACTCAAGATATGGTATCTGGTATCCCAAGTCTTGAGATGCCCGACAAACTCTGTGAAGCTTGTTTAGTCGAAAAGCAATCCAAAAATTCTTTTGTTTCGACTATGCCAATGAGATCATCATGCATACTCGAAGTGGTACATTCAGATGTATGTGGTCTGTTTGAAGAACATAACATTGGTGGAAACAAATATTTTATTTCGTTTGTAGATGAGTTTAGTCTAAAGTTGTGGATCTATGCAATTAAGAGAAAAGACGAAGTATTCGAAATCTTTAAGAGATTCAAGATACTTGTCGAAAACTAGAGTTATAAGAGGATCAAAGTTCTGCGAACAAATGGAGGTGGCGAATACACTTCGAAGATGTTTGAAAATTTTATGCAGGACATGGTGTTGATCACGAGGTAACTGCTTCTTATACTCTTCAACATAATGAAATTGCAGAAAGAAGAAATAAAATTGTATTGGATATGACGAGTAGCATGCTAAAGTAGAAAAATTTGCCAAATTTTTTATGGGGTGAAGCTGTTTTGATTGCACTTTATATTTTGAGTAGGTGCCCTACCAAGATATTGAAGAACAAGGTTCCTGAAGAAGTATGGAGTGGCAAACGAACACCAGTGATTCATTTGAAGGTGTTTGGCTCTATGTGTTACAAGCATGTTCCTGATGCGATAAGAAGGAAGCTTGATAATAAGAGTGAACCTATGATTCTGGTAGGATATCATAAAACTGGTGTATATAGGATATTCAATCCAGTTAATGGGAAGATTGTGTTGAATCGAGGTATTGTGATTGATGAAAATTATGACTGGGATTGGAATTCTACTAATTCAATTAACAAGCCCTTGATGAGCCCTAATTTCTACGAAGAAACTAATGAAGTCGAAGTCGAAGGAATTGCTGAGAATCCAGTCGAAGATGAAGCTGTTGTTGACATTCTAGAAACAGTCAAAGTCGAAGAGGTTGTGGTTGAAACAAGCCAAAGACCTCAAAGAATTAGAGTTATTCCAATAAGACTTTATGATTATGAAGTACTAGGTGATGATGAAGTCACACCAGATGAAAAATTATTTCATTTTGCTTTACTTGCAGGTACTGAACCAATCAACCATAACAAAGCTTTAAAGATTAAACAATGGAAGTTAGCTATGGTCGAAGAGTTACAAGCAATTGAAAGAAATAATACACGGGAGTTAGTTGAATTTCCAGTACATACAAACTCTATCAAAGTGAAGTGGGTGTTTAAGTTGAAACATAATGCTGATTGTTCGATAGAAAGACACAAAGCAAGATTAGTAGCTTGAGGGTTTCTTCAAAGAGAAGGACTCGACTACTCTAAAGTATTTGCTCCAGTAGCAAGATTGGAGACTGTTCGACTAGTGGTAGCATTGGCATGCAACCAAGGTTGATCGACATTTCATTTAGATGTGAAATAAACATTTCTGAATGGTCCTTTAGACGAAGAGGTCTATGTCACACAACCTCCAGGGTTTGTGATTCAGAAGGAAGCGAGTAAATTATATAAGTTGCACAAAATGATCTATGGCCTCAAACATGCACCTAGGGCATGGAATAAGAATATTGACTAATACTTAGTCGAATTGTGATTTGTCAAATGCAAATCTGAATATGGTGTTTATGTTCAGGTTGTAGCGCAAGAAATAATAATCATCTGCTTATATGTCGATGACTTGCTAGTAACTGGAAACAACTTGAAGAACTTGTCAAATTTAAAAGAGCCGATGATGAAGGAATTTGAAATGTCGGACCTGGAAAAATTGTCTTATTTCTTAGGCATGGAATTTCAAACGTCGAAGCAAGTTATGATGCTACATCAAAGAAAGTATGTCAAAGAGATACTTAAGAGATTCGAAATGGATGATTCGAATCCTGCATCCTCACCTGTCGAACCAAATGTGAAGTTGGATAAGAATGGAGAGGAAGACAAAGTTGATGTAACTTTGTTCAACCAAATCGTGGAATCTTTGAGGTATGTGTGCAACAGTCAGCCTGATATGGGTTTCGCAGTCGGATTAGTGAGCAAATTCATGAGTGAACCAAGAGTGTCACATATTAAGGTTGTAAGAAGAATCCTCAGATATTTGAAGAGTTTGATAAACTGTGGAATACTATTTCAACGAAATTCTGAAGACAAAGAAGCAATAGTTAATTGCTTTTCATATGTTGATTGGTGTGGAGATAAGGAAGATCGAAAAATCACAACTGGATATTTCTTTCAAGTATTTGGTGCCCTAATATCATGGTGTTTGAAGAAGCAACATGTGGTGGCATTGTCATCGTGTGAAGCTGAATATATAGTAGGATCCTATGCTGCATGTCAAGCAATTTAAATCAGATCAGTAATTGAAGAAATGGAGGTCGAAGTGAAAAAACCTCTAATGTTGCAAATTGACAACAAGTCAGCCATAAATCTGGCGAAGAATT